ATGTCCGCGCACCTGCAGTGGATGGTCGTGCGGAACTGCTCCAGCTTCCTGATCAAGAGGAACAAGCAGACCTACAGCACCGTGAGTGGGGCCCGGCGCCGGCCGCGGGCAGGGCAGGCCCTTCGCGTCCCCCGCCTCCTCACGGTCCTCTGCCCCCTCCCCAGGAGCCCAACAACCTGAAGGCGCGCAACTCCTTCCGCTACAACGGGCTGATCCACCGCAAGACCGTGGGCGTGGAGCCGGCGGCCGGCGGCAAGGGCGTGGGGGCGGCCGACGGCAAGGGCGTGGTGGTGGTCATGAAGCGGCGGTCGGGTGAGCGCCCCTCCAGACGGGTCCCGGGGTGGGTGGGGCCGGGGAACCGCGCCGTGAGCCGGCGGTGGCATCCCCTACGTCCTGGGCTGCAGTGGCGGAGCAGAGCTAGCAGGGCGGGGCTGCACCTGGTGGTCGCGAGTCCCTTCCAGGGGCGGGCGCTGCAGCGCCGCATAAAACCTTTCCAGGCTCCGCTGAGGCAGGGAGGCTGGGTCTCTGCGACAGCTGGCAAAGGGGAGGCCCCCGCGCAGAGCTGTGCCCTCCTCCCAGTGCAGGTGGAGACAGGCTGGGGCGCAGATACCGTTTTGATCTTACTCTGCCTGTGGACTTGCAGAGGGGCCCCAAGGACCCTCGGGCCGGCTGGGCAGAGGTTCCTCTGTAGCGGCGTCCACCCTGGTTCTCCAGCAGGGCTTGCTTTTGTTTAAAGGAGTGGGCTCTTCTGAGGTCCTGGGTGGGAGCTGGCTTCTCCTGGCCGTTGACCTCAGTCTCCTGCTGCCACCATGGAGGGAGGTGCTGTGCCTCCCTCAGCTCAGGGAACAGCAGGCTGCTTGTCCCATAAGGTTCTGGGGTCTCCCTCAGGACTTCGTTCTGGAGTGCGAGCTCCTAAAACGTTTGCTTTCCCCAGGCCAAGGACCAGGACTGGCCTGAGAATAAGGTGGGTGGGCGGTGACCTCTGGGGAGCCAGCTGCCCTTCCTGGAGCTCAGGTGCTAGCCAGACCCCAACGAGGTCTCCGTGGCATCAGATCCTGACTGAGGCTGGCAGGTGCCTGGACAGGAAAGGACAGGGCCCTGAGGGCGAGCGGTTTCTGGCTTACTCTGGTCCCTGCTCTTGCTCCCGCTAGTCCTTCCCACCATGGTGGCTTCAGACCCTTCTCTGCTCACTGTCCCTGCTGAAGCAAAGGTGGTGGCAGGGCCAGTGGGCTGGGCCCAGGAGGACCAGGCGGGTGGAGTCCGTGCTGGCTGAGTCGGCTCCCCACCTGTGGGCAGGGTGGTCATTCACCTCCCAGGAGGGCAGGGCTTGAGCCAAGCAGGCTGGGTTCAGAGCAGGCACGGAGCTCTGCTGTGCTGTGCACCCTGGCCGAGGTGGTGCCTGCCCCCTGCCTCTGCTGCAGCCCAGTGATACTGTAGGGCTTTGTCTGCCCAGCAGGGATGTCTTAAAGCGCCCGTCTGGGCCTGCCACCAGCCTAGCCAGAGGTGTTAGGTGGGGTGTGCTCGCGCCCAGGGGATATGCTAGAGATGACGCCGAGCCTTCCCCCAGGCCAGCGGAAGCCGGCCACTTCCTACGTGCGGACCACCATCAACAAGAACGCCCGGGCCACCCTTAGTAGCATCCGGCACATGATCCGTAAGAACAAGTACCGCCCGGACCTGCGCATGGTGAGTGCCAGGCCCTGGTCGGCCGAGGGGGGCTCCCCCCCATGGGCTCCTGCAGTGAGCTGAGCCACACCCTGCCCCGCCCCGCAGGCTGCCATCCGCAGAGCCAGTGCCACCCTGCGCAGCCAGAAGCCGGTGATGGTGAAGAGGAAGCGCACCCGCCCCACCAAGAGCTCCTGAGCCCTGCCGGCCCCTGAGCAATAAAGGGCAGCTCCCTGCCAACTCGCCTCCCTGGGCCTTCCTTGTGCCGCGTGCTTCGACTCCGGCCCACTGGTCACTGGGGCCGTGTCACACATGCCAGCCTGTACCCCTGGACAGAACAGTTCTTCCAGGCGGGGTTGTTTCTTTGTCTCCTTGCGAGGTGGACCAAAGAATCCTAGCTGGCCCTGGGATGGGGCTTCTGTTCAGAAGAGGAGCTGGGGAACCACAGGAGGGAAGCGAGGGCTGGGTGGAGCCCCATGTCGAGATGGACAGCCGGGCCTGGAGGGTGAACGACCCCCACACACCCCAGGGGAGAAGTGGTGGCCCCTGCCTCCTCCGGCGGGTCCCCAGAGGCCTTCCCTGACCAGCTTTGCAAACAGCCCCACTTGCCTGTTGGTTTCCTGGTGTCGGCCATAGGCAGTGTGACGCTGCACAGGGCTGCCAGGCCGGCCGTGCAGAGCCACGAGTTAGTCACCTGTGTCTACTGAAGCGGACGCGCCCCGAGAAGCAGGACCCCTCCCTGACTGTGGACACATGGGCCACAGGGCGATGAGCACAGGTGCCCGTGTGGACAGAGGCCTCTTACCCTCAGGGCAGTACCGAGCACGACAGTCCCGTGAGGAAGGGCAGAGCCTGCTGGTGGCATGGCGGTAAAGGCAGCTGGATCCCATGTGACCAGCTGCATGGTTTCAGTCCCAGACCTGGTGGCTTGTAAATGAAGCCAGGCATGTGTGTGTGCGTGCCTCACATCTGGGAAGAGACGAGGGTTGACCATAGTGGACTGCTTTCTCACTCCCTCAGACCAGCGCCCACATTCTGTAGCAAATATAAATGTTTCCTCAGCCTTGGGGCTGGCGGGTTGGAGGTAAGGAACTGGACTCCCACACGTCCCACCACAGTTCAACTCCTGGACCTGGAAGAATGCTTCCTAACTGGTTCTGATGTGTACTCTAGCATATTTTAAAAGTAATGATAAATAGGGACCAGCAGATGATGTAATGGTTGTGGACTCCCACGTGGTCCGCTGCAGTCCTGGGCCCAGTGCTTACGCTAGGAGTGTGCATACATGCCAAAGACCTGAGGAGGATGGCAGAGAAGGGACTGCACGGCCACCGTCCCCCTCACGGAGGTGGTCTCTCACCGTCTCTGGTGAGCGGACCCATCTTATAGCAAAAATCTCTACTTGTTTTTTTGTTTAGAGGATTTCTTTTGCTATGAGGGCGCAGGCACGCACGCACATGCGCCTGCTGTAAGTTTAACCCACCGAGTCTAGGACTTGTACCACGGTCTACTACATGGGAATCCAGCGACATAGCCTTTACGCCAACTGCTGGTCCCCAAAAGATGATTTTTTTTTTTTTTTTGAGAGGTTTACACTACAGGTCGCGTGCACTCACCAGAAAGAAAAAGCGAAAAATCATCTCCTGGGGGGATGGCCACGCCACAATCCCTTCTCCATTCTCTTGGGATCTTGGGCACGCACATGCGCCCGGTGTGAGTTTAAGCCGCAGGGCCTGGGACTTCAACCATGGTTAACTACATGGGAATCCAGCAACAGCCATTACGCTAACTGCTGGTCCCCCCAAAAGATAATTCTTCAAAAAGTGTTTTAAATGTCCTCAAGTTTTGCCTCTATCCCCATCTGTAACCTGCATCTCCGTGGACGTCCTGGGGTTGAGAAAGGGACAGGAAGCTCAAGCCTTGGGACCCGCAGGTGCCATAGTGGTTATGTTACTGGACCTCCACGTGGTCAACCCCGCCTCGTTTTTTTATTTTTAAATTTTATTCTTTTTGAGAGGATTTTTGCTATAGGGTGTGCGCACTTGCCAGACAGAGACCTAGAGACAGAAAGCGAGAAATCACCCCCCAGGGGGGATGGTCACGTTGTAATCCCTTCTCCATTCTCTCGGGATCTTGGGCACGCACGCACACGCACCTGGCATGAGTTTTAAGCCACCGGGTCTGGAACGCGAACTATGGTCAACTACGTGGGAATCCAGTGACATAGCCATTATGCTAACTGCTGGTTCCCCGATTTTTTATTTTTTTGAGAGGTTTTTCCTATAGGGCGTGTGTGCTTGCCAGAAAGAAAGCGAGAAATCACCCCCCAGGGGGGATGGCCATGCAATAATCCCTTCTGTATTCTCTCAGGATCTTGGGCACGCACGCATATGTGCCCGGAGTGAGTTTAAGCCACAGGGTCCAGGACTCAAACCACAGTCGACTACGTGGGAGTCCAGCAACATAGCCATTACGCTAACAGCTAGTCCCCCCCCCATGTGTGTTAGTGCCCAAGATCCAAGGTGGAGGGGACTGTCCATGGCCAGCCCCCCATCCCCCCTGGCGTGACTTCTCACCTTCCCTTCCCTCTTCCTTGTCTCCAGCGAGTGCATGTGCCCTGTGGCTGGGCCCTCCGAGCCTTGTGGGAATGAGTCGATGGCCGTTAGGTTTGTACGTGATCTCTGTTCCCAATCCCCCTCTCGGGAACCTGTGCCTGCTTCACCAGATGTGCATGCTTTTAACTTTTCAATTTTTACTATAGGGCATGCGTGCTAGCCAGAGAAAGTGTGAAGTCACCCCATGGGGCATAGCTGTGCCCTAATCCCTTACCCATTCTCAGGATTTTGAGAAAACGTGCCTGGCCTCTTTTTCAAGCTGCCAGGTCCGGACTCGAACTGCAGTCAGCCATGTGAGATCTGGCTGCTCTAACTGCCACACCACCTGCTGACCCCCAGGCTATGCATTTTTGAAAAACATTAATTTGCCGTGGAGCATGTGTGCTCATTAAAGGGAAGTGAGAAAGCAAGCTGCCAAGTCCAGGACTAGAAGCAGTCCTCCACGTGGGAGTCCAGCGCCTTCACAACCACGCCACCTGCTAGCCCCAGGCTGTGCATTTTCAGACTTTGAGAGCTGAAAACACTGCTTCATTTGTAGTTGGTTGACATTTCTTCACACAAGGAAGGGAACACCCCACACTTCACCCAAGTTGTAGTTTATTAAAGGATTTTTCTCAAAATTCTTGATAGAGGACCTGCAGGTGGCATGGTGGTTAAGGCACTGGACTCCCACATAGCTGACAACTGTTGAAGTTCCAGACCTGGTGGCTTGCTGTCTCACTTTCCCTTTCTCTGGTCAGGTTAGCAAATCAATTTTATTTGAACTTTATTTATTTTAATTTGGAGAGGTACAGAGTGAGTGAGAAAGTGATAAAGCAAGTTGCCAGACCAGGGACTCAGACTGCAGTTGTCTACGTGGGAGTCCAGCGCCCTTAAACACCACACCACCTGCTGGCCCCAAATCAGTAATTCTTTAAAAATGGGCCGGCGGGTGGCATGATGGTCGGGGGCACTGGACTCCCACGTGGCTGACTGTAATTCAGGTCTTGGACTTGGCGGCTTGCTTTCTCACTTTTCTCTCTCTGGTCAAATTAAAGTTAAGTAATTATTTGTAAAAAAATCTTTAAAATTCATGGTCGAGTACATGTTCACACATACAAGGAGGAGGAGATGCGAGTTCCCTAGGGGTCTCATCACTCATCCCCTTCAGTTCTCCAGCTCGCTGCACTTTTTCCAGGTTTTCGCCATACGGCATGTGTCCTGTTAGAGACAGGGAGAAGGAAATCACCCCTGGCAGAACTGCCACATCGCAATCCTCCATTCTCTTATGACTTTGGACATAACGTACATGTGCCCAGTGTGATTTCCACGTTGCGGTGGGTCGTGTCGGGACCCGAACCATGGTCGGCCATGTAGGAGTCCAGTTCCTTAACCACTATGCCACCTGCTGGCCCCAGCCCAAAGGATCTTGGGCACTTGCATCAAGGTGCTTGAGCTCCCCAGAGAGCACCACCCTCTGGAGTGTGATCACACCTTGGTCACTTCCTCCCCTCACAGGTGGGGTTGAGGTTTGGGGCACAGTGCAAGCACACACGTGGCTGCTAAGGATAGGATTTGAACCACAGTTGACTGAGATTTAGGCTCCCTCTCCCACTAGACTGGGCTGGCCTGAAGGGTTTTCATGGTGGATTGGTGGAATTGCCAAGGAGCCCCAGGCAGGGAGTCCCAGCCCCGAGTTCAAGGCCTCAGGGAAAGATAAGATACTCCAGGGGCCCAGAGGGGATCTCTTTGGAGCCAGTCAGGGCTAGATCTAGAGGTGGTCTTTGTTTTGTTTTGTTTTAAAGAGTTTAAATTTGTTTTTGCTATAGGCCACCTGTGGGGTAGGGACACGCACTCAAGTGTGCCTGGCATGAGTTTTAACCCTCTGGGTCCAGGGTTCTAACCAGGCCAGCTATGTGGGGAGTCCAGCCTCTGGGTCCAGGATTCTAACCAGGCCAGCTATGTGGGGAGTCCAGCCTCTGGGTCCATTTTTTTTTTTTGGGGGGGGGGAAAGGTTTTTGCTACAGGGCGCATGTGCTTGCCAGAGACAGAAAGCAAGAAAAACCCCATTGGGGATGATCACAGTGGAATCCCTTCTCCATTCTCCTCTCGGGATCTTGGGCACGCATGCACCCATGCCCAGCATGAGTTTAAGCCACCAGGTCTGAGACTCAAACCACGGTCAACTACATGGGAGTTTAGCAACAAAGCCATTAAGCTAACAGCTGGTCCCACCGGTCCAGGATTCTAATCGGGGCCAGCTATGGGGAGTCCAGCCTCTGGGTCCAGGACTCTAACCATGGTCGCTATGGGGAGTCCAGTGCTGTGACCCTTACACCACCTGTGGCCCTGAGGCGTCATCTTTGGGGTGTACAGGCTGAGCTACCCAAGTCTTCTGAGTTAACTGCATTGCCCCCGACATCAACTCTCTTACTGCAAGTTTTGTTTGTCTAAGCACCTACATTTTATATTTCTCACCTCCTATCTCTGCTGGTCTTTGGTCAAATTTTTTTTAAATTCTTTTTTAAAAAGAATTACTAATTTTATTCATTCATTCATTCATTTTAATTTGACCAGAGAAAGAGTGAGAAAGCAAGCCGCCAGGTCTGGGATTCGAACCATGGTCAACTATGTGAGAGTGTCCAGTGCCT